AGCTCCCTAGATTTTACATCAGTTCTGACTAATAATCGAGTCAGGTCTGATCGGTCAGCGCTGACGCATAATTCATTCAGAAATTCCAAGTCATACAATCAGCTGACCGGGCAGCGCTGACGCATAATTCAATCTGCACTGACAAGTACGACAATCAGCTGATCGATCAGCTCTGATGCATAATTCCTTCAGATCTGACAAGTCCGACAATCAGCTGATCGGTCAGTTCTGATAGAATTGAAGGTCACTGCTGGCATGAGTAAGCGAAATAGCGATACGATTGGTAAGCTGGAAATTGTATGTGTTGAAAAGCGATGGGCGATCACACGTACATGAAAATTTCGTTCAGAAAATGCACTTTGCCTTTAAAAATCTGATAGAAACTCGACACTACGTTCTAACCGGAAATTTTGTCAGTACTACCGGGCAGATGATAAGTAATATGACCGACAGTGTTCCTGCAGTGTTGATTTTCGTTTCGGTTAGCTATGTGGCTTCATAGGTTTGCTTTGTTGCTGTTTAAGAGTCTGCTAATAAGCCGTTGGTGTTGGTGTTTGTTTGGGTGGTGAATTTGTTAGATGTTGAAATGGGACTAGGTGTAGTGAGAGGCAGGCCATTGCTGTTGCGTTGTTCTGCATTGGTTGGAGCTTCAGTGGTAGTTTGAGAAGAGCGTTGAGTGAGTGTGGAAGAACTAGCGTGCGTCTTATTGAGTCGCTGTATGTTTTGAGAGCTGTTGGATGCCATGGGGTTTGATTCTAAGGTATCGTCACTTGAGTTGTAAACTATGGGTGTTTGTAGAATGTTGGCAAATGTGTTTGATTGTTGATGTTGTTGTTTGTATATAATGTGGGCTGTTTTGTGATCCACTTTTTGGAGTGTTTTTATAGCTTGGATTTGCTTTTGTTTAATAAAAATTGGGCATGTTCGGCTGTAGGGCGAATGGTACGGATTAGTGGTGCTTCATCCTTGCAGCTGAGGCAGGCGTGGAGGTGGTAGCAGTTATAAGTGGAGTCAGGTGACGTATGGTTAATGTGACCAACTATTTTATAGCTCAAAGAAGTACAAATTAGGTTGGGTTAAGTTAACGCCGCAAGCCGATTACGAAATTTCGAATGCGGCTAATTTCGATCCCTGAGAGCTCAGTGTTTGTTCACAAGTGCGAGCCAAAATGTTTCCATCTAAGCCTCACGAAGGTTGGACAGTCTAAAAGAAAGTGTTGGGATGATTCCACTTCAACTTCCGCTTGACAGCTGATACAAAAGGATCAGTAGAAATTTCTAGTCTCACCGCATGAATACCAATCGCACCTTTCGTATCCTTTTCTCAATGTTAGGCTTCTACGACAGCCGCCGTTGATCGCCTACCTAATTACCTGGTTTAGGTAACCTTGAGCTAGATCAAAAAGGGTGTATAGAGATCACCCCTTAACCAAAAGTTCCACATCGTCTACATAGGCAATCACCCGACAGCCCACTTTTCCAGTTCCTCTAGAAGGTCGTTTACAACCGCAATCCAGGGAAGGGGGGAGAGAAACCCCACCTTGTGGAGTGCTCCCATTGACTCCGTCGCGACAGTTCTGTCACGAAGTAGGCTTATTAGCTTATGAATATACTTGACTATCGTCTCTAGAGTGACATTGTTGAAGGCCCCCTCGATATCGAAGAGTCCCCTTCTGCATAATCTTCATGCGTGAAGGCTTCCTCTGACGACTTTACCAATGTGTGCAAGGCGGTATTCACCGACCTTTTCTTGTAATAAGCATACTGAGCTCTTGAAAGACAGTGGCTGATAAGCATAAAATCCCTAGGAGAAACATGATAGCCTTTTCCGGCCTTCGGGATGAATGCAACACTGACTACCCTCCAAGCCTTGGGGATGTACCCGGTCCTTATGCATGGATCCAACCAAATGCACGACATCTTCAGAGCCCTTTGCAGCTGCGCAGATATGATGCCATCGGTCCACGGCGACTTTAATGGTTTGAACGAATTTATCACCCAGGCTATGTAACGATTGTCCAGAGGATCGGAGAAGTGCAGGACCTGGGGGGAGATTCTGAAACCAGTTAGCGACAATTTTCGAACCGCTATTGCACTTTTTAACGCAAAAACATTTATGTATATCATGCGTTAAAAAGTGCGATAGCGATCCGAAAATTGTCGCTGACTGGTTACAGAATCTCCCTCCCGAAGTACAAAATATCGTAAAGAAGTACATTTGACTATACTTCGAAGTACGAAGTACGAGAGCGAAAAAGGAAGTACTGTACTTCCAAAAAAAGTACGTTTGGTCACATTACGTATGGTAGACTTGTCAACAGTTTCCACAGAGTTTTTGGTTTTTACAGTATTTTATAATGTGCCCGTATCGGTGGCAGTTCTTGCATCGTGAAGGCAGGGGTATGTACGGGCGAACGTATCCTATTGAAATTGTGTCGGGTAGTGAGAGCGTTGGAAAAGTGAGTGTGATAAGTCGGGTTTCAATAAGTGTTGAGCTGTCGTTATTTTCTTTTCGCATGATTTTTCTAACTTCACTCACGTTTTGATCTATAGAGTTCGATTAAGATTTCGTTTTCAGGTATCCCACGTCAGTCGTTACAATAAACAACGCCTTTGGTGGAGTTAAGAGTTGAGTTCATTGTTATTTCTACTTGTATGATTGGATAGGCTGGTTAACTTTGCTAGTTTGAGTGCTTGTGTATGGTTCTTTGTTTTAATTAGAATGTCACCACTTTTGATTTTTTTGCAAGAGTCGACTTTTCCGCAAACACCATCGATCAATGAATCACCAAATGTTAATGTTGGTCAGATTACCGCTCAGGTATCAAGAAGTATAGCTGTCGAATTGCCTAGTGTGAGCGGTCTGCGGAAAAATATTCAGCGTCAGCGCCTTTGCAGTAATCCGCAGCTATTAACACCCAAAACATTGAGTGAATTAGTTATACCTGAGCAATTTCAATTGACTAACAATGGTGAAAATTTTATATTGAAGGATAGTTCTGCTCGTGCCAATCGTTATGTGGTGTTCGGTACTATGGGAAATTTACGTCGTCTGGGTTCGTGTCGAATTTGGATGTCTGATGGGACATTTTCTTCTGTATCTAGCATATTTAAACAGCTTTACACCATACATGGAGGTCTTGTCGATAATGATAATGCTGGTAATAATGCTATCGAATCTGTACCATTTGTGTACGTTTTGCTCCCATGTAAAAGGCAAAATGTATATCGTCGATTTTTAAAGGCTCTCGTAAACGTAGCTGACGGCCACTTGGTGCCAGAAGTATTTACTACTGACTTCGAGGCTGCTTTCATTGGAGCTGTGAAAAAGGTATTTCCAGATACTCATCTCCACGGGTGTTATTTTCATTTCGCCCAATGTATTGTACGGTTTTTAAACAATATGGGGTTGGAAACACGCTATAACACTGATGATGAGTTTTCTTTGCATGCTAAAATGTTGATTGCTTTAGCATTCGTCCCTCCTGCTTTCGTGGTTGCAGGTTTTACTAGCTTGATTTCTTCGGAATATTTTGCTAATACGAATGATTTGAAGCCTCTTATTACTTATTTCCAAGACACTTGGATTGGAGTTCAACGCCGAAATGGTCACACGTCTGCCAAGTTTCCTATCGAAACTTGGAACTGCTATTATGTAGTCATTAATAATGAGCCAAGAACTAATAATATGATGGAAGGTTGGCATAACACCTTTCATCAACGTATTGGTAGGAGTTACGAGCAGTTGGGGAAATTTATTAATGCTTTGAGAGTTGAGCAAGCTTCGTCGGAGGTGATTTGGGAGCAATTCAATGCTGGTCGCCTCGTTGCTACTCGGAAGCGCAAGAAATATTTTGGTTATGATGCTCGCATACGCGGTGGTGGAATTTTGGAATATCTTCGTGGGGTCGCTCATAGTGTTTCTCCGTGACCAATTGTTCAACCATTTGATTAAGTTTGATATTGATTTTTTGTTATTTAATATTTTATTGTAGTTCTATGTACATAATATACTGAAATTCCGACAACTTATTACTATGTATTCTCCCGTGATAATTTTTCTAGTGATCATTTGTCCTGTGATCAGTGATATTGTGATCATTTTGGCTGTGATGTTTTTCGTTGTGATCTAATTAGCCAGTGATCATTTGCCTAGTGATCAATTGTCCTATGATCATTTGTCTTGTGAGCATTTTGCCTGTGTTTTTTGTCATGATCATTTGTCCTGTGATATCAATAGAGGTGTAATCTTAATTATCAAATACTGTTTAACACCCCAAATAGTTGTTTGTATTTTCTACATAAATACATACATATGTATGGGGACTAAACCAGTAGTGCAATTCACTAACTTTTAACGATACGATTTGTCGAGGTCTAATATAACGATTTTTGTGGTTTGCAGTAACGATTGTGTTATTCGGTAACTCTTTTTTAACGACACTAAACAGCTGACATTTTCTTTTTATTTCAATAAAAGAAAGGTGGCATCTCAGAAGAATGACGAAAAAAAATAAATTCCTTGCTTGCAAAGTGGTATACACATAGTTTTCTAATAATTTAATATACTTTCACAAAAAGTAAGTAAAATAATACGTTTATTTATTTTGTATTATTAGACATAACCATTTTCGCATATTATAGAATGGCTTCGTCAGTACCCAGTGTTCAAAAGAGAAGCCGGACCACAGCAGAACAACTAAGTCGCATGGTGGACTTTTTGGTGTAAACGCCGGGATTGGCAGGATCAAGGTTCCAGAAGCTTCATGGCAAGTCGGACTGCGACAAGAAGTGGACTGACTTAGCGTCAATGCTGAATAGCCTTGGTGGTTCGGTGAAGAACATCGACCAATGGCGCACAGTATGTAAAAGTTGTTTAGTAATTTAATACCACGTTCAAAATTTTGTTTTGCAAAAAGGTATGGAGGGACTTGAAGAGCCGTGCTAGTATTAAGGTGCGTGATAGAAAACGAAAGCAGGCAATGACGGGAAACAATCCCATTAATGAAGAGCCACCCACTGAGCTTGAGAGGCGTGTGATTGCCCTTGTCGGTAGCGACTATGTGCAGGGCCATGAAACTGTTGCTGAAAGTGTGCCAGTGGAAGAGGTAAAAAGCAAATAAATCGTTATGAATAGCACAGCAGTTAACAATGCTTCCCATCATTAGGAACTCCAACTTCGTATGGAAGAGGGTGATGAAAGTGTCATCATCGAGATGCCATCTATTTCCCACGAAGTGAGCATTGAGATGTGCACATCGACTCCTGTAACTCCTGCAGGAAAAACGCCTCGTAGAGGTGCAAAAAGAAGGCGTGTGGACGGTGGTACCGAGGCCCAAAAAACATTTTTGGAAATTGCTCAGACCCAAGCAAATGCCTTAAAAGTAATTTACATATTTGTAACTTTACATAAGTAAAATTTTATGACATCATTTTTTCGGTTCTTTTTCTACAGATGCTAGCAGAGTCGAGTGCAGCGAATGTACAAATAGCAAGTAGACAAGCAGATGCTTTGAAGGTAATTTTTTGTACATACTAAAAAAATAGTATTACATTCGTATGCTCTTTCAACAGTTGTTAGCTGAAACAAGTACGGCGAGTGTGCAGGTAGCGAAATCGTTGGCCGAAGCTATGAGCACAATGGGGGAAGGTTTAAAGGCAAGTGCGGATGCCTTTAATAATTTACCAAACGCTATCTACCGCATGTAAATATTGTGTAAATATGTAGTTTTTTAAGTAATTTTTTGTTTTAATATTTATGTTAGTTTTAATCGTTTTAAATGTAAGTTGAAGTTCTTTTTTTTATATTTATGTTAGAGTTAAGTTTTCGTTTGATATAGCATGAAGTTCCTATTTTTGAATTTATGTTAGAGTTAAGTTTTAATTCGACATAGCATGAAGTTAACTTTTTACATTTAGAATAACTGTTTAAGATATTCGAAGAAGAATTTTTACAAGTTTGAATTGATCTTTATTTGTTTTTAATAAGGGAGTTATTTGAAGTTCTGTTGATTTTAAAATGAATTCAATGTTTACAAATTTAGTTGATATAGGTATACGGTCTTACTGCATGTAAGATATACCACATATATTTCTTATATACAATAAGTAATGAAATTTCATTTTGTGAATTCATGTTTTAATTTTGTGATGCGCCTGTAACTTGAACGTGCTTTTACGTGGTGTTTAATCCACGCCATATCATATTATAGAAACCGATCTGTGATTACATACTGAGATCTGTCTTTTGATGGACCCTTTATTTAACGAATATTTACATATATAATTCTAGACTTAAAAAAATGTACTCAAATTAAAGACAAAATAAGACTGAAGTTATTGATACAAGAGTTTTTATTTACATAAAAATGTTTAATAAAATGCCAAAATAATTTTATTGTATTCCTTCTGAATTTTTATTTATCAACGTTTTATTCATGTAAAATAATTTGCAATTAGCCGGTATTGGACGCGTTTTGCTGTTGAAGACGGCGCTTCTTGATTTACATTACTGCTATGTGTCCTTGGCTCTAGGAACTCAGTCTCGGGATCGTATGTTTGGTCACCCAATCGCAAGTTATGCAACACTGTGCATGCATTTAACACTTTTCCAGTAAATCCAGGATCATACGAAAGAGTCCTTTGCTGAGATAAGCATCGCCAAGTTCCTTTGAGAACGCCAAAAAGTCTCTCGACTGGGTTTCGAGTTTTGCATAATGCCTCATTGTAGCGGAATTTAGGACTCCCTTCTGGTTGGTTAGGTAGAGGAGTCATCAACCACGGCTCCAAGGGATATCCTGAGTCACCTGCAAATATATATTCGAAATTTTCAATTAAATTGATTTTAATAAATAAGTTTCAGTGGATTTAAAAAGTTACCAATCAAAACATGTTATGGTTTCCATTTTCAAAACTTCGCTGCATAACTCTCCGGACTGCATAGGAGCTCCAAATAAATGAATCGTGTCGCGCTCCTGGGTATTTAGCATTGACAGCCAAAATCTTTAGATTTGGATCACATATCTATATTTGCATAAAATAAAATTAATTCTCAGTAGTTTAACCCGTGAGCAAATTTTACTCTTACCATTTGCACATTGATAGAATGGTATCCATGGTGGTTGACATACGCTTCTTCATGATATTTTGGGCTCATGATTGACACATGAGTGCAATCGATAGCCCCAATAGTAAGTACCTCCTACAAATGGTGCGGATGCTGAGGCGAAAATTTATTTTGCAGCTTGCCGCTCTATTTGGGTCATTGGAAACCTAACCTTTGCCAAAAACATGGTGCGGTTTATTGCATCCGTTACGCGATGTATACAGCGACTTACGGACGACTGGCTCATGGATATCCCCCATAGCTCTCCGACGGGACGTTGATAACAGCCAGTTGCGAAGAATCGTAAGGCAGTTAGAACCTCTAAAATTTACAAAAGCATTTAAAATTGAAAAATACTTGCAAATTACATTATTTACCTGTTTCTCTGTCGTTATCGCAGTTATTCTTCGACCCCTTAATTGGCTATTAAGCTGGGAAACAATATCTTCTACCAAGTCTGGGGTTAATCGGTAAAGGTTGCGAAACTCAGTTGCAGTCAAGTGGAAAGGGTTGTCCACTTCTCGAAGCAAACGTCTTATTATCTCCTCATCTTGGGATAAAACGTATGCCAAATACTCAAATGCCATTTTTAACAAAAAGTTTTTCTTTTATATATTACTTAAGTAAATTCGCGATATATATTATTTTATTTTAACTCAAATGAAATATCAAATTTTCTTTTGTCGATGCCGCTAACAACTTCAAAATATTCGTCGTTTACTTAACGAGTAATCGAGTAGTTAACGACAACAGCTGATCAAGCGATAGCGAATATCGTTAAAATATGTTTAGCGAATTGTCAAATCGTTAAAATCGTCGTTAAGTTTTCTTAACGATTCGATAATCGTTAAAATAGAATGGCGAATCCTACTACAGGAATATTCATTTGAAAATGCTAATGTCCTACTCATTTATGAAATAAAAGACAAAATAATGGTTTTTATGAATATTATATCCTCATTTATACACATGTAACATACTTACTTAGCCGAATTACTTAGTAATTACTTGTATGTAAGAATGCTAAGACAAATTATTTATCAGAAGCATTGCCCCTTACACATTGAAAAAAAGTAATAAAAGCTCTCAAAAAAGCAAAATCGCTACAGCGAAAAAAGTGTTTGAAAAACCTCATAAATTCAAATCCGCATAAAAAAGAACCGCACAAAAAGAGACCTAAGGGCCAGTTTTTCAGTGCCAGTTTAAACTTAGTTTAGGTAAACTGAGTTTAAATTGAACTCTGGTTGACATTTGATTGGCTCATCTTAGTTTAAACCAGCCAGATCGTGCGTTTTAACTGAGTTTAAACCACGGCCATGCACTTGAAATTTTTTAAGAAATTATTGAACATTAAAAAATTATACCTACAAAGATATGTATGCACATATGTGCCTACCTAGTAGACAAAACTGGTCAAAATAGCACGCATCTATTCCTCTGTGCATAAGAATGTATACATAGATAAATACATACATACGTGTATATATGTATGTATATACATATCTGCATGTGTGCGTACAATCCTTTACTCGAAATTCTTAGTTAATGCAATTTTTATCCCATACATTTTTGCTGACCAAACAACCCGTTTGCCCATGATTCAATAATACAAGGTTAGATAATTATTGACAGCCGCGGTTTGACACTCCCTTACAAAAGGTTGCATTTACGAAGGACTGAGAAAGGAGAAGAAATGGTAGTAGATAAGTACGCAAAGTAGGCAATTAGTAGTGAAATTATTTTTGTAAATTCTAATGTATTTGCAGGAAATCTGGCATTTTAAACAAAATATTGAACGAAATATTAATATATCTACGTGAATTACGTAATTTATGTGCTATTTATGTAGCTGTATAAAAACTGCAAAAGGACTCAGAATTAAAATAAAACTACTATGAGATTTATGTAAACATCAAATTTAAAAAGAATTTATGTTTTCATCAGTTAAATGTCCTTAATATGTATATACAAATAAACAAATTGCACAAAAGCTTATACTTATATTTCACAGCAAAGCTACACTTTTTCCAAGTAAATTTGCAAAGAAGCAACACCGTGCTACTGCTAAGGGAGCGGTGCTAGAGAGACATCTGTCAGTTTATCGAACCTTGTATTATTGAATCATGCCGTTTGCCTGTCTAATCTGCTTTCCTCATTTGCTTTGCTCGTTTACTCGCCTTATTTCCCTCGCTCGCAACGACGCCCTCGCGAGGGCAGAGCTAATGAGGCCCTCGTGTGCTTGCCGCTCTACTCTTGCGCTGCCCTCGTTTGCTTACACGCTCGCTGGCTGCTCAGCGCATGCGCTCGTACTTAATGCTTGAAACACAATACCCGGCGAACGGCGAAGTTCGCCGAATTGGGCGCTGCCGTCGTTCACCGTTCGCCCTGCTATTTCGCCAACTTTAACAGAATTAGAGCGGTAGCGAAAACAGCTGATACCATTTCGTCGCACTTATAAGTGAGGTGACCATATTTTGAAAAACGAAACCATATTTAGAAATGATGAAATGATAACAAATATAAATATAAGGCAAGGATGAATTATTATAAATTATTTTATTTTAAGCCAGATTTAACGAATCGTTCACTGTATTTTTCAACCATCAAAAATAATTCGTGTTACATGCTGTTTTCTTCTAAATCTTTGAAAATAAAAAAACATACCACCTTTGGCATGTACTGCCGCCATCGCCCAGCAGAGCGATAGAAATAAATCTATCGCTTCGCATTTCGCTTTGGCTGTGTTCAATTTCATATGCCGGCGGGTGTTCTAATTTTGACAGCGGTAATTTCGCTGTGGTGAGTTCGCCGTTCGCCGGCATTGTGTTTCCACGGTAAAGCTTGATATACAGTTCAATGCGAGCGTGAGCGTGAACTTTCGCAAAGGCAAAGAATTCCATTTGTATTCTTATGGACGCTCACACACATCTGTCAAGACTTGTCGTTCACATGCGAATGCTTTGCGTACGCACACAGTTGAGTGTGAGCTTGAAAAAAGGGCATATTATGCATTTAAATTAGTTTTTATTCTATAATTCTGAAAGATATTTTAATTCTCTATCTTTTGATGTATCAACTATTGCAAAAAGTTAAGAAATAACGAAGATATTGGTCAAAATAAAAAGCTCACGCTCACGTTCGCATTGAACTGCATATCAGGCTTAACGAGTGCTCGTTTGCAAACAGCCTCGCTTGTTGCTCGTGAGTTTCGCAAGCTCAGAGCAAACTAACGAGCGAGCGAGGGGATAAAATAAGGCAAATCCGAACCCTGCTTGCACTTTCTAAATGACAAATATTTTTTTAGCATTGATTATGCACTTTTTTCTAAAAACGGTTAAAAAATTATAACATTTTATTTGTTTTTTGGTAATTATCTAGGTGGGCTTTCAACCCCTAAAATTTATCAAAATTAAGGAAAGGGGGTACCATTAGACGCGTCTGGACCCCAGTAACAAGAATCGGAGACTTTTTTTACCCGATCAAAAGTTATTAACAAAAACTTTTTCTCTTACGACACTCACACAAACGCACAAATGCCCATATTTCACCATACATACAACAATAATACTTCTCTTTAGTCATATATGCCATAATATCGCTAAATATATCACTTATAACTTATATATTTTATTACTATTTTTTTTTTATTATTATTATTA